TTACTAGGTATAATAAACTGTTTAACTTATAAATCATTATTGTTCTTAACTGAATAAAGTAGCTACTCTGAGTAGTAAATGAGCAAAGTTTCATCTGCACGTGCATGGGATCTATCTAGGCAGCACGCAAAACCACCTCTGGTGGTTTTTCCTCTGGTGGAACAATTTTTCCACAGAACTGGTTCCTGGTGTCCAAAAGGTTGGGGAACAGAGTCCAATGTGGAATGCAAGCTAAGATAATTGGTTAGTTTGCAAATTGTGGGTTTTCCCACAGAGGTAAATAGAAGTTTCCAATCATGTTTATAGAATACCTTCCAGTCTCCTGTGTAGCCTGTAGACATAAGAAAAAAATGATGGGTTTGTAGCATTGACAGGTTTGGATTAGATGACTTCCAAAATCAATTTCAGGTCTGATTCTTCTCAAGAGTTTTATGAGCAAGTGTCACAGTGGTGCTGAACCGAAAAGGTCTGAATCCATTTCCTTTGTTTGATTTGTGTAGTTCAGGAAAACAGCTAAATAATTAGGTAATAGGTGTTTTGGGGGAAATTGATTCCATTAATTTCAAACAAGAGATGGGCAATCCATTGGCTGAATGCAGTCATCTGGCATCCCACGATGATATCACTGAAATTGTATAGTAAAATGATACATTTTTAGACCCATTTGTTTGGCAGTGGTTTAAAAACCACAATAGAATGGTTTGTCTTTTGGAATAAGCCCACTCTCATTGGCACCCTAATCTTCTCAGCCAAAAATATTGGCTGAAGAAATATGTGATGCCCTTCTTAGTGGTATAACAGCATAACCGGACGGCTTGAGTTGCAGCCCCTAGCTCTTATACCGTGTTTCTCCGAAAATAGGACCGACCCCGAAAATAAGCCCTAGCCCAATTTTCACACCAGTGCCAATATAAGCCCTACCCCGAAAATAAGCCCTACTTAAGAGTCTGTGCAGCTGGCCCCCCGCCCATTCTGTCTGCTTGCTGTTGACATGAGGTGGGGGGGTTGAGGATGAAGTGAGGCGGGAGTGCGGCGCTGCCCCACACGCCCCTGACCGGCTGACAGAGGGCCCCGTATCAACATGCTGACAACTGCCTGGCCTTGCGACGGCGGCTCCAGCAGCCCCATGCAGGATCGCCGGCCCGCTTCTTCTCCTTACTCGCCACCGCAACAAAGTAGGAGGCTGAGCAATGCACCCGTGCCGTGGCTAGTAAGCGAGCCGGTGGGGGATGAAGGACGAAGCTGATTCTCCTCCTTACTCGCCGTCGCAACAAAGCAGGAGGCTGAGCGATGCACCCGTGCTGCGGCCACTAAGTGAGGCTTAGTGGGGGGGGGTGGAGGACAAAGCCCCAACAGTATCCTTGGCCGCCCGGCCTGTAAAGCCCTGATGCTGGCGGAGTGAGGTGGCGGCCGGAGCAGCCCCTTCCCCATCTCCCCTTGCTTCCCCAAAGAATCCCTTCACTAACCTGCTCTCCGGCTTGCTCTCCGACACCGCATGCAGGGCAGCAACAGAAGCCTGTGGGACAAAAAAGTTCAATCTTGGGAGAGCGAAATTGGGTACTCCTCCGGAGTCTCCCAAGCGCCTTTGTTCCCTTTTTTTGGGAACAAAGCCAGTCGTTGCCTCCACTTCTGCGAATTACAGAGAATTGTGAGCAAATAATAAGCAGACGGAACTGACCAGGGGAAACTGGACTTGAGTAACTTAAGACTTTAACTCAATTTATTAACATCTTCTTTAAAGTTAAGTTGAAATGAGGGGAAAAAAATGGCTGCGGTTTGCCGTTTCTCTATAGATGAGAGTGACTTTCCTTTTTAACTTTCACTTTCCTGCAGCGCTGAATGAAGAGGGAAATTGTTACCCCTTGGCTTAGGGTTGTAACATTGACATATTTTTTTGGGTTTATGGAAAGTTTTGGTGACTAATTTTTTTCTTTTCTTTTAATGGAGAGAATTCTGGATTTGGATTTTGGATTTCCCCCCCCCCCTCTTTTTTTTCTCCGAGGCTTGGATTAAAGAAGCCTGTGGGACAAAAAAGTTCAATCTGACCTTCCAACTTTGAGAGATCTTTTTTTTTTTTTTTACAAGAAGTTGGAAGGTCGGATTGATGATTATTATTATGTTTTAATCCCACAAACCTCTTTTTGTTGCCCTGCATGCAGAGAACGGAGCTGGAAAGGAGGATAGTGAAGGAATGTGGTTGCCCTGGGGTGGGGTGGGGGTTAGGATTTGGCCACACAACAATGCTTATTTTATTCTTTTAAGTGAAATTTTCTAGACTAGAATTTTCTTTGATAAGGCACATGGGTGGAGTAAAATGGGATACCAAAGAAATTGCTGGTGGTTACAGGATATAATCTGGGTCGGTCGCAGGGACTGGAGGTTTTGTCTTCCGAGCTTTCGGACTCGTGCTGGAGCCCCCATCCTCAGGGAACATCCCTCTAAGCAGAGTGTGTGCCGTTCTGTGTGGGGGGATGTATATGGTGCCTGTTGAAGTTGTATGTGCTAGAGAAGCTCCCCGAGGATGGGGGCTCCAGCACGAGTCCGAAAGCTCGGAAGGCAAAAACTCTCGTCCCGGTGACAGACCCAGATTGGATCCTGCAACCTCGTCCTGGGACACGTCTATTTTGCCTTCCTTCATTACTGGTTGTCCTCGAGTTAAAATCATTTTGTTCATTGACCAGGAAGTGCTGGGGAAGCCAACAAGGAAGATCACTGAGCTAAGCCTCTCCCACCTGCACATCCTTCCCCAGCCTCTCTGCACTTGCACTGGCCATTCACACACACTCCTCCCCTCCCCCACCCCCGAGGCTCCTCCGACACACCATCCCTCAGCCTTGCCAGGCACCCTTGCACCCTTCCCTGCCTCACAGCAGCCTCTTGCCTGCCTGCCAGCCTGTTTCCAAACCACTTGACACAACTTCCTACCGGCTTCCCCACTAACCTGGTTGTGGGAAGCTGGCAGGAAGTTGTGGCCCCACATGATGACTATGTTAACAGCAACCGGGACTGCAAAGGATTGCCCTCACTAAGTAATATGGCCATACTCTACGACTACGTTGCTTAGTGATGGAAATTCTGGTTCCAATCGACGTTGTACGTCGAGGACTACCTGTCTCTTTCTAGACTTGTGACTCCTGCTCAAGGAGTAGGTGGCAGTCCTGACTTTAGGTTGTGCGCCAATTTCACTCTTTCGTGGACCATGGGGTTCTGCTCACAGTCACTCGCACCCTAGTCACCTCCAAAGTGGATTGCTACAATGCAAACTAGCGAGTTTCCCCGAAAGTAAGGCCCACACCAACAATAAGCCCTAGCTTGATTTTTGGGGGTGGGCCTAACATAAGCCCTATCCCAAAAATAAGTCCTAGTTTGGGGGCGAGGCACCCACCTAAAAATCAAGCTGGGTGGGGGTGTGGAGCTGCCCCACCCATCCCGCACCCACTTAGCTTGCAGCCAGGCCTCCCCTTGCCGGCCCACTTCTTCTTCTGAGGCCTCTTCTGCAGCCAGGCCTGCGTTTCCCAGTCCCAGGGCTTTCCGGAAGGCCACTGCAGACTGCAAGACTTCAGCAGCCGAGCACCAAGCTATGGATTGAATCCAGAGCTTGGTACTCAGCTGCTGAGGCCTGGAAAGGCCTGACTGCAAAATGCAGGCCCAAATGCAGCTGCAGAACTTCGGCCCCAGAAGAAGTGGACCAGCTGGGTGGGGCTGTCGGTGCTGACGCTGAGGTAAGGCCTACCCCGAAAATAAGACCTAGTCTTATTTTTGGGGAAACTGTGTGTGTGTGTGTGCGCGCGCAGCCGAGCACCAAGCTATGGATTGAATCCTTAGCTTGGTACTTAGCTATTGAGGCCTGGAAAGGCCTGACTGCAAAATGCAGGCCCAAATGCAGCTGTAGAACTTCGGCACCAGAAAAAGTGGACCGGCCGGGTGGGGCTGTCGTTGCCGAAGGTGAGGTAAGGCCTACCCCGAAAATAAGACCTGGTGCCTCTTTTGGAGGCCAAAAAAAAAAAATTAAGATCCGGTCTTATTTTCAGGGAAACACAATACATGTGGCTGCCATTGAAGAGTATTCAGGAGTTTCAATTTGTGCAGAATGTGGCTGCACACTTGTATGCCTTTAGGGACAGCACAAGTCACACCTACGTTCTGTGAGCTGTGCGTTGGCTGCCAATATGCTGCTAGGTGCAATTCAAGATGCTGGTTCTGACCTTTGACGCCCTACAGGTCCTCATTACTTAAAGGACCACCAATCATATCTCCCTGCCTCATCGTCTAGCAGGAAGCGTTTATTGTGATTCTTGTCTGCTAAGGAGTTCCATCTGGCAGGACGGAGACAATGTACCTTTATTGTTGGGGTTCCCACCTCTCTCTTCCAGGATGGGTTAACCCCATCCCTTTTAGCCTTTCAGATGGCCCTCACAATGTGATTCTTCCAGCAACCTTGGGGATCCCTTGGGGAACCTACATGATGGCTATATTGTGTTTAGATTGGATGTTCTCCCACAGTCTATTTACTTTTAAAGTGTTTCAATAGTTGTGACGTCGTTTTAATTGTTGGTTATATACCACCGAGTCACGTTCAGTGAGATGGGCAATCATATAAACGTGTTTAATTATATTTCCCTCAAATGGATATCAAGAATTGGGCATTGTCACGACAAGCCTCAGTGTTGTGTAAGGAAAAGCCTTGTATCAAGTGCCAGTTCAAGGGAATAGGGCACCCCCAGGCCACATTTATGGCGCCACTTCCCACCAATGTGGTGATCTGCATTTTAGAATGATTTCAGAAGAAAGGGCATCATCGGTGTCCTTTTTAAGCTTTGGTGTCCTCGGCCCGTGTTAATTTGGCCTTAGCCTTATTAGCTGGCACTGCTTGTGTCAACTGGCTACTAAATTTAATAGCTGCTGATTGATGGGGAAAGGTAAAAGCAACATTGCTGCTGTCTTCTTCCTCTTAGTCTCCTTCTTCCTGGTCCAACCTAGGCACGTTTCGCGGGGAGCCAGGAGGAACCATCGTACTCAATGACCTTACAGCGCAATGTCAGATCGTTTGGGGCAAACAGCAAAGGGGAAGGATGGAAAAAAGTATTCGTCGCTCAACCTGTTTGATACGTACAAGGGCAAGTCCTTAGAGATCCAGAAACCCACAGGTAAAACGGCCCGCGTGTGTCTTCTTCCCCGTCCTGCTCTCAAAGGAGGAGGCAGCTGCCATGATGAAACTGCTTTTATCTCTGATACTCTGATGGTACTCGCAGCGCCCTGAGCAGCTGTCACTTTATCGCAGCCGGTTAACGGGGGATTGACAGAAGTCCGGTTGACAATTGGTGTGAATCGGGACAGTCAAACTGCTCCGAGATTGTCTCAGGGCTGCATTTAACCTTTGAAATCCGCTTCCCTGCAGTAACCCCCCGCCATGGCTTGCAGAGTCTCGGTAAGGTTGCCATTGCCCGACGCATGCCACCCCCTGCGAACCTGCCAAGCTTAAAAGCAGAGAACAAAGGCAATGACCCCAACGTCTCACTAGTGCCGAAAGACGGGACAGGATGGGCAAGCAAGCAGGAACAGCCAGACCCAAAGAGGTAAGGCGGGACAGAAGCCATTGAGGGCGTCTGTACCCATTTTCAAGCTTACACTGTTTAACTGTTTTGTTTTTTTAAATTTATTTATTTCTGGGCCTTTTTTTTTTGTTTTTGCCTCTAGTACCGATGCCTCGACAGCTCAGCCGCCGGAATCGCAGTCACCGCCGGCTACACAGACGTCTGCCTCAAACCAACCGAAACGACCCCCAACAGCCCCCGAGGTAAATTTGGGGCAAGAATGGGAGACTGGAAGCATTCAGCCAGATTTCTTTTTTCTTTTTTTCCTGGACTGTTATGTCTATCTAGTTGTAACCTATATTTGGCCAAAAAAAATATCTGGGATTTCTAGCTGTAGCCTCTTCTCTCTTACTCGTTATTCCTCACTCTGTCCATCTTTGATATATCAGCTCTCCCTCTTTTTTATCGTTCACTGGTCCACCATGTGACTACTTTTCCCTTCCTCCCTTGGGAAGCAGTTATTTGTCAGAAAAAAAAAGACTTGGGCCAAGACTGGATTGAAAGCAGTTCCTGCAATTTCTGGCTCCCTAAAGACTGAATATAAATTTTGACAGGCGTCCACGCTCTACCTAGGTGATAATTTTACACCAGCTCTCTCTTGGGCTTCAATTCTCAGCCAGCCCTCGGGGCCTATAGACGATTTAGATAGAGGCATAGGTTTTTTTTGTATCAGAAATAATGCACAGAGAATAGCATAATCTGGAGGAGATCACACAGGCCTGTGTGATCTCCTCCAGATTATGCTATTCTCTGTGGTGGTGGGGAGGGGAATTTCTGGAAGTAAATTGTCTAAACTGGAAGCAACTGCTGATCCAACTGACAGGCTTGTTCCCTCAAACTGTATCCAGTTTGAGAGATAATTTTTATTATAGTAGTAGTAGTAGTAGTAGTAGTAGTAGTAGTAGTAGTAGTAGTAGTAGTAATAATAATAATAATAATAATAATAATAATAATAATAATAATAATAATAATAATAATAATAATAAAGGCTGATTTATAAGGTTTTTAAAGCATTAATCAAGTTTGATAATGATAATAATGATAAAGTTGGAAGGAACCTTGGATGTCATCTAGTCCAACCCCCTGCTCAGGCAGGTAACCCTATACCATTTCAGACAAATGGCTGTCCAGTCTTTTCTTAAAAACTTCCAGTGTTGGAGCATTCACCGCTTCTGGAGGCAGTTTGTTCCACTGGTTAATTGTTCTAACTGTCAGGAAGTTTCTCCTTAGTTCTAAGTTGCTTCTCTCCTTGAGTAGTTTCCATCCGCTGCTTCTTGTCCTGCCTTCAGGCGCCTTGGAGAATAGCTTGACTCCCTCTTCTTTGGGGCAGCCCCTGAGATATTAGAACACTGCTATCATGTCCCCCCTTGTCCTTCTCTTCGTTAAACTAGACATACCCAATTCCAGCAACCATTTAGAGCTGCATGGTATTGCTTTAGCCCAGAGAGGCAACAGAATGTTCTGGAGTTCTTCTCAAACATGTCGTTCGCAGTCAGTGAGTTTCCATATTGCCATGCAGGAGCTATTGAACAATTCATTGTCATTATATGTGTGAACTTAAGAGATCCTCATGGTGCAATTGCAAAGGACGATCAGGGATATATATTTTTTTACTTCCATTTTTTTTTCCCTCAAGAGGTGCTTTCTCCTCTGTTTTACCTGGCAAAAGGTTAAAGGAATCTGGAAGGCTTTGAATGTGACGGGGGATACCTAAACGTTATTCCAATTTTTGCAAAGAATGTAGCATTCCTAATAAAGCAGCAGGAGCAGAGGTGGAGAAAACTGGCAATTAAAAAAAAAGTTGATCAGTAGATTTTGCATTTCCTTACTGATGACTGGAGTCCTGCAGAACAAGCAGATAGAAAGTCCAGCTAGTCTTGAAAAGCATTTTCCAGGTGTGACTACTACTCCTAAGAGGAATAGCAGAGTGCAGGCAGCATAGGTTTTATATTTCTTTTCACAGCCATTATGTATTGGAGCTTTATAGAAGGTGGCAATCTTTCAGCAGGACTTCTTTATTGCACCCTGCTCTGATTACAGTGAAAATTGTGTCTCTAGGCAAGGCAGGCTGTTCTTAGCTCCATTTGAATTGTACAGGTTGCGTTCTGTGCAGGCTTATTCTTGAATAAATAATTGTACTTAGACTTCAGTGTAGCAGGCAGAATAAACCACCCAATTTTGGGATTTTATGAAAGGGTGATTTTTTTTTTTAATTTGAGGGTGCTAGAACTGTTTTAAGTTGTTTATGGGCATCATTTTCAGTTCATTCAAGTGAGTTTTGAAAGATTTAAAGACAGAAACTACGATCGTACCAGTTTAAACTTGCTTATTTTCGAGCCTTATTTATCGCAATAGGGATAACATTTAAGTGTGGCTTGGCTTGGCATAGTATAGTATAGCATGTTCACCAACACACACATTGTGCATTGCAATATACGGCTACGGCTTAGCGTTGTTCATGAGTCACACTGCTACATCAAATTCTCTTAAGTATTTTTTAAAATAAATGATGGTTTAACTCTGTTTCAAAAAGACAGACGAGGAAAGAGCAAGTAGTAGAGGGAGTGAGGGAAGCGACTAATGCTGAAGTTCTGGATTTTAACTGAAGCTAAAACTATTCCGAAATGTATTCTGAACTTCAGAAAAGTGGATTTTAATAAATCCAGAGCAATGGTAAGGGAAGATTGTGTAGTGTTATGTGCGAAAAGAATCTCAAGATGGGTAAAAATAAAAAACTCTTTCCAAAGAACCTTGGCTTCTGGTGACTATATGAACAAGTCCACGTAATTGCTTGGCAGCAATACAAAAACAGTGGCCACTGACTCCGGGGAGGCTTTTTTTTTTTTTTGTGAAGATGATCTTTTCTGTGAAGAGAGATGTTTAAAAATGAGAATGTTTGGCTTTGAAAAGACAGGTGAAAAGGGTGGCTAAGAGAGCACATTTCAAATACCCGAATGGTATCATACAGCAGAAGGCCCATGCTGTTTTCTGCTAAGGTCATCGGTTTATGGCAGTTTCTCAACCTTGACAATTTTAAGGCATGGGGACTTCAACTCCCAGAATTCCACAGCCAGCAATACTGGCTGTGGAATTCTGGGAGTTGAAGTCCACATGCCTTAAAATTGTCAAGGTTGAGAAACACTGGTTTATGGATTAGTGTTAAATTCATAATCCAAACAACATTATTGTTGTGGCTATGCACACAATAAACAAAGTTAACCCCTCAAAGCTGTCTGAGCTAGCCGTGTTAACAGCAGCTGTCCGAACGGTCAGAAGCTAAAGCACTACCTGGGCGAAGGTATTTCCCATAGCCTCTTTCTCTCTCTGATTCCTGGATCTCCTGCAGGGCATCTACATAAGCCTCCTATAGCTATATACCGTATTTATTGGCGTATAACGCGCACTTTTTCCCCCTGAAAATAGGGGGCAAATGATGTGTGCGTGTTATACGCCAATATAACAAGTACCGTATACACATGTCTGGTGTATACGGTATTAACAAGTACCGTATAAATGGCCCGCGGCCCGGTTTAATCCGGCCCCCGGCAGGGCGCAGCGTCGCCAGGCCTCCCCCACTTGCGCGAGGCTTCTGGCGTTC